AAAAAAAAAAAAAAAAAAATTCATCTGCCAGGGTGGTGGCAACACATTTGTAATCTTGTCATTTCCAACTAAGCAGGGAAACACAAATAGGAGGATCAGGAACCAAGCCAGCTGAGATATACAGTGACACCCTATCTGAAAAGTAAACAACACAAAAAGGGCTGGAGACATGACTCAAGTGGTAAGAGCACCTTCCTAGTAGGAGTGCAGCCTGAGTTCAACCCCCAGGACCGCCAAAGAAAAGATAAAAGTGCTGAAATGGAAAGCAAGCAAAGAAGATCCAATTCATATACAACTGGAGCCCTTAAAGAAGATAAAGGAAAAAGCTGACAAAGTGGCATGTGCCTGCAATCCCAGCTACTGGAGAGGGTGAGGCAATACCCCATCTCAAAAAAAACAAACAAAAAAAGATAAAGAAAATAATGGAACAAAACTAATGACGTAATTAGCTTAACTAATTATAGTTAATCTATAATCCTGAAAACTTTATAAGAATAAAACACATATAGAAAGGGCCCATTAGGTAGTAGAGAAATTAACCTACAACAGTCATCCTATCAATACTAACAGATTAGAAAGAAAAATTTCTCATTGAACACCAATGTCCAATGATGTGATCAGTCATGCCCAGGTAATCGAGCATCTATAAAAATCACGTGGACCAGGTTCTGGGAGCTTCGGACATCTAAACATGTGGACGTTCCCAGTGAGCAGTGTGCCCTGCAGATTAATGCCCTTCTCTTGTACCTCACTCCATGCATTTCTCCCACATGGCTGCTCATCTGTGTCCTTTGAAATATCCTTTAGAATAAATAGGTAAATGTAAGAAAAGTGTTTCCCTAAGTTCTGGCATTCTAAGCTACTCAACCAAATTAATCAAACCTGAGGAGGAGGTGTGGAAACTCTCCATTTACAGTTGGTGATTCGGAAGTGCAAGTGACAATCTCCTACTTGCAGCTGTCATCTGAAGTGAGAAGCAGGCTTATGGAACTAAGCCCTTAATCTATGAGATCTGATACTATCTCCAGGTAGAAAGTGTCAAAATCTAAAAGGAGATGTAGGAGATCCAGCTGGTGTCTACTACAGAACTGCTTGGTTTATGTGTAGGGGAAAAACCTCCACACATTTGAGATGACTATGTTAAATAATGAGTAATAGAAGAAAAATCACTGAAGTTTTTTCCTGAATCCTTGTAAGTACACACACACACACATTTACATTCCAAAACAAATTCATCATCATTACCTCCAGTAGTCCTACAGCTATGGAAAGTGCCACTCCTGAAGAACGCAAAGGTCTCTTTCCCTGTGGTACAGGCCAAGGGTCTCGCTGAAGTTCTCCCAGAAGATCTGTGAGATTCATGTCTATTTTCTGTACTGGCTGTAAGAATCTATAAAACAAAAATTAAATAAAAAGCCATTTACAAACGTGAGAATTTAGGAAACTTTCCTAAAAATAGAAAAAAAATCCTCTGAATACACAGCAAACCAATGGCTCTCAAACTTTCATGTGCACTGTGGGGTCTCAGAGCTACGGTTTATTTCAGTCAGGGAGAGGGCCCAAGAATTTCCATTCCAAACAAGTTCCCAGGTAATACTGATGCTACTGGTCCAGTATAACTGCTATGAAAAACACTTAAATCCAATACTAGTTCAGGACTTCATCTTTCATTTACTCATCTAGTAAGTTTTAATGTTAGTGAAATAATTATGAGAAGATACATCAATTCAATTTTAGTAATAGCACCTCTGATTATAAAGCTTAGTAGAAAAAGCTACCAATAAGATTAAGACAACAAGAGTCAGTGGCTCACACCTATAAGTCCTAATCACTCAGGAGGCAAAGATCAGGAGGTTCATGGTTCAAAGCCAGCTCTGGACAAATAGTTCGCAAGACCCTATCTCAAAAAAACACATCACAAAAAGGACTGGTAAAGTGGCTCAAAATGTAGGCCTTGGGTTCAAACCCCAATACCACAAAAATAAAATACAATGACAAAATTTAGCTTCAAAAGCTCTACTTTTACTTGGCTGCCCTCAAACCACAAAAAAATAAGATTTTATGAAGCTAAAAAAAAGAAAGTTAGGAATCTGTCAAACTAAACTCCACAAATCATAATGATGAAAAGCAAACCATTTCAGTGACATGATTCTACCTCGACTCCTTAAAAAGTATGCTATTGCAGACTGGGAGCATGATTCAGCTGACACAGCACCTGCCCAGCAAGCATGAAGCCCTGAGTTCAATTCTCAGAATCACAAAAAAAGTATACTACTGCAATCCGTTTATAGTCCTGAAAATATTTAATAGCATAGTATCACTGAATGCCTATGCTCAGGTTAAAGGTATGAGATGCTTAAAACAGCTGCATGAATTATAAAATTCTGTTTGTCATATTAATCATTACCTATTGGAAGGATGTGGCTGCTGTACCTGAGGACCACGTGTTGCTTGAGTAACTGGTACTTTAGAGAGCCCCAGCATTTCCTGTAGTAAAGAGATTATTTGAGTGACATCCATTTATTCAATTCTAAGAAGATTCATCAACTATTTGCCATGTGCAAGGTGCTATGCTAGAAATGAGGTATACAAAAATAAAGAACACAAGGTCTCTTTCCTCAGAAGACAGTCTAATTGGGGAGACTGTCACATAAACAATAACAATTCAGGGAAACAATATCATGAGAGAGCCAAGTAAGGTTATTAACTCAGAAATACTTCATATCTAATTAATAGTCAAAATAGTTGGGCATGGCTCAAGTGATAGAGCATCTGCCTAACAAGCACAAGGCCCAGAATTCAAACCCTAATATCAGTACCACAAAAAAAAAACCTTATTTAAAGCATCTGAAAGAAACCTGACGTCAACACTCAAAGTCTTTGTTATAATACAATTATATTGATGCCTTTGCTATAATGCAATTATATTGATCATTCTTTTTTTTTAATTTTTAGAACTATATATGATTCAGAAGGCATTTATAAACATATATAGTAATGTCCATATATATATTGAAAACTGCCATCCTTATTTACCTGCAGTTGTTTGGCAGACAGATCTTTTGTTCCCCTGAAGACATAGCTTTTGGAAATACCTTCACATCCAAGTTCATGAACCTGCACCATTCTCCCAAAAGTAATAAGTCCAACCAACGCTGTAGGTGGTAAGAGACTTAAAGACATCTGCATGGATTCTTTCAAGGCTTGTAAATCTTCATCTTCCATGCAGGTATCAACCACATAGAGGAATATCAAAGGCATCTGAGGACCACGCTTTTTGAAAAATTTGTAATAAGAAAAGTATTAACCCTTCAACACAATATTTCAGATAGTCAGTCTAAGACTAATTAAACAATACATAAAATGGACTGCTAATACATACATACAATGGAATTCTAAAAAGCCATTACATAAATGAAATAGATTATATATCTTGTCATGGAGAGCTATCCAAGACACAGCACAGAGGGAAACATTAAAGTTAAAAACATTATATATAGTGACACAGGGGACATTCACTTACTATTTCATTACATGATGTTTAATTTTTTTAAGCGTCCATGGCACAAACTTTTATTCAATGGCCAAAGATGAAGAAAAGGGAGGCTTGCTTACAAATCAATTTTTTCCAAGGCTTAATTTCCAGTAAAAAGAATTTATTACTTTTAAATAATAAGCTAACAACTTATTATTTTAACAAGTTTAAGCCAAGCATGATGCCTGTAGTCTCAGCTACATGGGAGGATCATTTGAGCCCGAGTTTGAGAAGAGCCTGGGCAACACAGCAAGACCCCAGGCTCAGGAAAAAAAAAAATTTAAAAACAAAATGTGGCAATTTTTATAAAATAACTATCAAAACCTGAATTGGTCTTTCCAAGGACCAAAACTAGTCAGACTGGTTAAATTACTGACTGGTGTGAGTGAACCATATTTCTGTTTTCTGTACAACAATCACAAAGGGTATTATTATTTCTATACAAATATATAAATGAAGCTGTTCACAGAGGGAAGAAAAATGGTTTTCCCAATGCAAGAATATTTTCATTAATTAGACTTAGGAGTACATCAGCAGACTTTAGCATCATATTGACTAAGTAATTACCAGCAGACCTTCCAATTACAAAGACTGATTTTTATTATTTACTCATCTACTCAGTGCAGCAAATAACACCATCCTACTCAGTATCTGGCCACCCATCAAATAACCACCTCAGAGAAATTACTTACTCAAGCTGACCTTGACAGTTCTTATCTTTGAAATAATGATCAATATACTACATAATGCCTTTAAAGCAATCTCATGGATGGGCATGGTGGCTCAATCCCAGATACTTGAGAAAAAGAGATAGGAGGATCAAGGTTCAAAGCCAGCCCATACAAAACAATTTGTGACACCGTATCTCAAAGAAGAAAATGAGCATGGTGGCACATTCTATAATCCCAGCTATGAACGAGGCATAGGTAAAAGAATTATGGTCTGAGGCCAGTCTTGGCAAAAAGTTCAAGATCCTCTCTAAAAAATAACTAAAGCTGAAAGGGCTAGGAGTGAGGCTGAAGTAGTTAACAAGTTCAAGGCCCTAAGTTTGAACCCCATACAAAAAAGTCACCTCAATTTGACAATTATTTTGAAAAAGACTACTGCATATTTAAAACTTTCTTAAACATCTGCTCATATGTTCTTACCAGAACTACATATTCAATACTAGAAAACTGAGGTAAAAGTTCAGCAGGCTGATTCAGCTCAGATATCCCAGCATAAGTAGGTGGAAACTATAGAAAGGGAAACACAAAATTTTTTAACAAATTATTTGCAGGAAAGTGCAATAAAATTTTAAACTGAAAATGATTTCTTTGTCATTTGATTAAGAAATATATGTTCACTACATTCACTACATGAAACAATTATTTTACCCTTCATTTTAAATCCGCATTTAAATCTGTGAAACTACACAACTAGTACCACAGCACTAGCATCTCCAATGAATGGGTTCTTACCTGATTCCTTTGATAACAAAAGTTGCAAGCCCAGAGTTTTGCTCGATAATCCACCTGACTGTTTTAAAAAAAGAAAAAAGACATATCAGGTCATGACTCAGTTCAATTTTATAAAGATCATAACTTCAGTAAAATTAATTTCTTTCTAAAACATGAATTCATTCAAACTGATAATCAGGTTTTTTGGTTTTTTTTTTTTTTTTTGTACTTGTGATTGAACCCAGGGCCTCACACATGGCAAGCAAGCTTTCTTCTACCACTGTGGACTATCCTAGCCCTTTTTATTTTTTATTTCGAGGCACTATCATGCTAAGTTGACTGGCTGGCCTCAAACTTGGATCCTCTAGCCTCAGCCTCACAAGAAGATGGATTACAGGCATGTATCACTGTTTGTAATCTTTATTCATTTACTTTTTTTGAAGTGCTGGGGATCCAACCCAGGGACTTGGACATACTAAGCAAGCATTCTACCCCTAAACTACATTCCCAGCCCAAAACAATCTATTTTTTTAATTGTTTATACATTTATTCTTATATGCAAACATTGTTTGGGTCACACCTCCCCCCTGCCCCCTTTGCCCTCTCTCTCATCCCCCCAACCCCTTCGCTTCCAGGCAAAACCTGTTCACTCTCTTCTCTAAGTTTGTTGAAGACATAAGCAATAATAAGAAAGACATAGCGTTTTTGCTAGTTTGAGATAAGGATAGCTATACAGAGTGATTCCTAGCATTGCTTCCCTGCACGTGTATTACAACCCAAACTGGTTCATCTCTCCCAGACCTCTTTACTACTTCCCAGTCACTTTCCCATAGTGGCCTCTTCAGTTTAAGATTATTATATTCGTTACTCTACAGTAACCACATCAACCACTTTCAAATTTTAGGTTTCCTTCCCTTTCCCTATTCCTCCTGTATGTATTCTCCCCTTAGCATGTGACCCATGTCCAATAATATTACTGCATTTGTTTCAGGTCTATTATCTGCATATGAGGGAGAACAAGCAATTTTTGGCCAGATTCTGAGCCTGGCTAACTTCACTTAAGATGATGTTCTCCAGTTCCATCCAGTTACTTGTGAATGACAAAATTTCATTCTTCTTTGTGACAGAGTAAAATTCCATTGTGTATCCAAAGCAACCTTTAAAATCCATGTATTTTTATGTTTCCAGTATCTAATTCAAACTTTTAACTCATACAAGTTTATTTCAATGCTAAATACACAAGACTTCTAATAAATAGTAAAATGACTCCAGTAGCATCTATACTCAGACCAAGAAAACATTTATTCTGGTCAAAAATATATTTACCAAATGCCTAATATACTCCAACCTTTATTTCAGGCGCTGGAGATGCAGCAGTAAACAAGAGAGACAAAGTTTCTTCTTTCATTAAGCCTACATTTTAGAAAAGGCAAGTACATGTAAAACTCAGAAAATACATTTAGAAGCTGGGCATGGTGGTGCATGTCATAATTCCAGCACGCAGGAGTCAGACAAACCTGAGCTACATGGCAAGATCAAGGCAAGCCTAGGATACCTAGCAAGATCCTGCCTCAAAACAATTAGAAAATACTTTCAGATAGCAGTAATAAAGATTAAAGAAAACAAAGCAGGATAGCAGAATGTATTTGGCATAGCTACTTTAAAGAACAGCCTTCTTAAATTGAAGCATAACCAGAAAGAAAAAGAACAAATAATAGGAAAGTGTGGAATAATATTTAAGGAATGCATACCTACTGCACAAGTCCCAAGACAGGAACAAATATGGTATGTTCAAGGATCAGGAAGAGGGCAAGATGGTTAAGGTAATATGTAGATGAGAGTAAGAAAGAAAGATTATACAAGACGAAGGCAGAAATGTACACATAGGCTAGATCACATTGGTCTCAATATGGGGTTTGGATTTTTCATTCCAAGTACAAGTGAGCGGAAAGGCTGGGATGTAGCTAAGTGGTAGAGTGCTTACCTAGCATGCACACACACAAAAAAGTTACACATGTATTCATGTTTGTTGAAAGCCATGGCAGGAGTATTTAAGAGTTTGAGGTCAGCCTAGACTGCACAGTGAGATCTTATCTCAAAAAAAACAAGCAGATTTTAATAATTTGACTTATTCATAAAACTCCAGCTTCTAGGTGGTTCTGGGTGGGTGGAAAAGATTTCTGAAAGATGAGAATGGAAAGAGTGAGACCTTAACAGGACACTGAAATTCCAGAAGACAAAGATGAGGGAATCTTTAAGTAGATGTACTAACAAAGATCAAGTATAAGAAACAGAATCTGTAATATTCTGGCAGTAGAATTTACCAGATTTGCTAGTGGACCGGGTGCAGGGAGAGGAAGTGGAAAGAGGAATAAGAAATGATTCCTGAGATTTTGGCTTATTCTACAAGAAATCATAGCGTCTTTTGAATACCATCATACTCAATTATGATGACTTTTCTATACACAGCTGACACCAGTATCTAGCAAATACTGCTGGTATCTAAGTCTTTATGTTAACATTTTTATATTTGATTTCTTTATATTATCAACTCACTATAACCAGAGTGAGCTTAAAAACTTTGGATTTGACTACTGTAATTTGGAAAAAAAAAAAAAAGTATTAACAGAAACAAAGGTATTTTTATATGAATTCAAAAGAAACAAACTACTTTTCTAAATTATACTGCCATATTAGTCTTTTCCTAGTATTTTAATTACCATAAAGGATTCAAAACTGCTCGGCAAGTAGTCCTACTGCACAGAACAGGCTCATATTGAATGGGTGGTAAATCAGGTCTCTCTTTTAGTGGCGTAAACAGAGCTGCCACTGGGACAACCATTCTTGTAGCCTCCAGTCGACTTGATGGCCAGACATTCCAACTAAACCGAACTCCATCTCGCTCTTCATTTTGTTGGATAAATTCCAAATAGGTTGTCATTGTAGGAGCTTGGTTCTTATTCCTGAAACAAAATTAAAAGATACTTAAAAATCCAAGAGCCTCTTACATGATTCAAAATGAGTATGGTTTCCACATTCAGCAATATTAACATATTACAAATCATGAACAAATGAAAACATGTTATCTCAGAAAAGAAATAGCAAACAACAATAACTCTCACTTTTAATAAAATAAGTAATGGCTCTACACACCCTAATGCCCATTAGGCTCAAGAAGAAAGATATTTATCCTTTTTTATTCATTCTTTTTAAACTGTGGCAAAAGTTAATAAGTGTTGTTATTTAAAGGCATACAAATAGGAAAGAAAGGCAAAAATGGGGATCTAGCATTTTCTATGCTATCAATTTGAAAATTACATTATTAATAAACAGATATCAAAAGCATAACATTCTAAAAAGCATGTGGTTTTCTGACCAGAAATGACAAGCTCCCACTAAACTTTCTTGAAGAGAATGCTTAATAGAACATGACAAAAAAGAATTGTTCACCCTTAAAAATCACTAATTCCAGTAAATCCTTTTACAAACTAACTTCACATTATTTGACAAGTACTTTCTTCCCTAATATTAACATGTTTGCATAAAAACCAAGTATTACTCACATACTATGTCAGAATGCAGACTTAACATAATAATGTTTATTTTAAAAATAATATAAAACAAAAAAATTCTAAAGAAATATCCCATTTTTCAGTACAACTTATAATCAGTGAAACATTTAAATAACTTCTCATGGCACAACCAATATGTTATGTCACTTTAACCTAAAACATGTATTTGGGGGGAGGGTGAGACTGGAATTTGAAGTCAGGCCTGTGCCCTTGCAAAGCATGCGCTCTACAGCTTGAGCCACATTTCCAGATCATTTTGCTATGGTTATTTTTGGAGATAGGGTCTCACTTAATTATTTGTCCCGGTTGCCTTAAACCTTGATCCTTCTGATCTCAGCCACCCCAGTAGCTAGAATTACAGGCGTGAGCCACTGGCACTCAGCAACTGATTTTAAAAGGCTTTCCCAGGATTGTTATTCACCATTAGCCCTTTCATACATATCTAACTGAAAACATACAAAATTGCAAGTAAAATCTGAGTTCCTTTCAACCAGATGTATTTGTTCCTAGACAACATGCTCCTCCTTTTAGTTGTAAAACTCCCAATGAAATGGAGCAAGGAGTAGCTTTATGATCTAGCACAAACAGCTTAACCTCTCTGATACTTAATTTTCTCATCGAGTTGAAAGATTTTACTATAAACCTTCAAGGTCCCATCTAACTGTAAAATTGTAGGAATCAATCAAAAATGGATGAACTTCTGAAATGATATTACACTACTAGAGAAAACACAGAAGGAAGTCTTCACATGCGTTTGTATTTACATCCACGACTTTTTCGCGCGAGTTAATTTTGCTGGTTATCCGCGGCTTGGGGCGGAGGTAGCGGTTCAGAAAGTTCAAGTGAAAAGGTGAACTCGACATCTCCACAGCAGTGAATTTACTACGACTTCCCTTACTATGACTTTTCCTTTCCCACCAAAACGGGAAAAACACTACATGCAGAATAGAAAACAACGGCACAGGATCGCTCGGGTCTGAAAACCCAATTCTTGTTTGTAATCAAGACCCGAGGCGTTAGCTTTCCCTGGCCCTTTTCTTCTTAACCCCAGGCCGAACTGTGGATGATAAGTCACCTGGGTTCAAAGTCTAGCGCACTCCAGACGAGGCAAGAAATGAGCCAGGAAACCCGAGGCCCAGCAGGGACAGGCTAGGGCAGGAGGGGGTGGGTGCGGGGCCAGACGCTCCGGCTGCGGTTCTTCCCCCGGCCCATGGAGCCGGGCGAGGGCCGCGGGTGACAGGCCTGGAGTGCTCGGCTAGCCCGGGTCACGGCCCCAGAGCGCCTGGCCAGCTCGGGGAACACCGAAAAGGCAGAGCCCGCGACCCCACGACTCCGGCCTGCCGCCCCACCCCGCTCCGCCCCGGCCGCCGCTAAGAGCCCACCGACCCCCGGGAGCGGAGAAGAGGCGGCGTCGGCGGACTCGGTCCTTACCGCAGCGCCCCTGCTACGAGATCCGCGCCTCCGACCTGCAAAGTCTGCCCTCTCCGCGGAGCCGGAGCACCGGTGGCACCGCAATCAGGGCCGGCGCCGCCCCGCCCCCGGCCTCTGAGTAGACCTCGGCCCGGCCAACATGGCTGGTGCCGCCTCTGCCACGTCAAGGGGCGGGGAGGGGGCGGGGCGGACTACGGAAGGGGCGGGGCGAGTGGCGGGAAGGGGCGGGGAGCGCGGGGGAAGCAGGGGGAGAGGGGGGCGCCGAAGGGGCGGGGCTGCAAAACCTGGGGATTTAAGGATACAGTGCCCGCCTGGGCATGGAAGCGAACGAAAATAGTTCTCTCTGTGCCAGGGTCAGGGGAGCGGCGGAGGACCAGGGGCGCGAGTACAAGCGGCCTTCCCCGGGATGCGTGCCCGCTCCCTGCTGCAGTAGAGACGGTGGGAACTTCTGTGGTTGTCACTCGAGAGAAAAGGAGGCGAACTTCTTGTGGTTGGTTCTCAGAACTACAAACCACATCTCTGAAAAAAAGAGCGAAAGATCATAGTGCAAAAGCTCTTTTCTAAACACCTACTATATGCCAGACAGTTGAGATGATGGCAATATACTGTAAGCAAAAATAAGCCAAATGCCCTGGCCTGGGAGAATTTGCATGCTATTTATGCACCCCTGGTCAGCACAGCGCTTCTCCTCCCACACTGCCTCTGCCCTCTCATCTCCTCTCCCGACACACACAATACAATCTTGGGCTGGTTATTCTAGATGATTTGGCCGCTTCTCTTTCCAAGAAAGGAGCCCAGCAAAATGGGACAGTAACAGGCGGGAAAGGTATTCAAGCTTGGGGCAGGGGGAGCGCTCAGGCAGCTCATCCTTAATGA